GAGAGAGAAAGGGGGTGGAGAGGGAAAGGGAGAGAGGAAGAGAGAGAAAGAAATAGAAAGGGGGGTGGAGAGGGAGGGAGGAAGAGAGAGAGAAAGAGAGAGACAGACATACAGACACCATTTCCAAAACAAAAAACAGGAAAATCCTGTGCTTTCTTTTCAGTGCTATGCTGGAGCCAATACACATGTCTCTGAACTCTATGTTCAGTGACTTCATGTTGGTAACTTGAAATTGGCCATGATGGGAATTTTTCATGAGACTTTATTTCTTAGAGCAGTTTTAGGTTCACAGCAAAACTGAACAGAAGGTTCACACATTTCTCATATGCTCCCTGACTCCACACATCCATACCTTCCCATTATCAGCCATTCCTCACTTGAGTAGTACATTTGTTAAAATTAATCAACCTACACTGACACATTGTCACCCCAAATCCATAATTTACATTAGGATTTACTCTTGGCATTGAGGCTGTACCATTTTAATAGTCCCATCCACAGTAAGAGAGCATATTCATTTTCCTATACTCACAGACTATGCATGTAGTATTTTGTATATATATATTTTTTATTTCAGCCAATTTAATGATACATTGTTTTAAAATCTCCATTTCTGGGGCGCCTGGGTGGCGCAGTCGGTTGGGCGTCCGACTTCAGCCAGGTCACGATCTCGTGGTCCGTGAGTTCGAGCCCCACATCAGGCTCTGGGCTGATGGCTCGGAGCCTGGAGCCTGTTTCCTATTCTGTGTCTCCCTCTCTCTCTGCCCCTCCCCCGTTCATGCTGTGTCTCTCTCTGTCCCAAAAATAAATAAAAAAACGTTGAAAAAAATATTAAAAATAAAATAAAATCTCCATTTCCCTTATAACTAGTTGAACATTTTATTTATATATTTATTGCTTAAAGTTTTATTTAAGTAATCTGTACACCCAAGATGGGACTTGAGCCCAGAACCCCAAGATCAAGAGTCACATGCTCTTCTGACTGAGCCAGCCATATGCCCCTAGTTGAACTTTTTAAAAAAAATTTTTTTTAATGTTTATTTATTTTTGAGAGAGAGACAGAATGCGAGTGGGGAGGGGCAGAGAGGGAGACACATAATCCGAAGCAGGCTCCAGGCTCCGAGGTGTCAGCACAGAGCCTGACACATGGCTCGAACTCACAAGCTGTGAGATCGTGACCTGAGCTGAAGTCAGACACTCAACCGACTGAGCCACCCAGGCGCCCCAGTAGTTGAACATTTTTTTAAAAATTTCTATTGGCCGGGAGGCCTGGGTGGCTCAGTCGGTTAAGTGTCCGACTTCAGCTCAGGTCATGATCTCATGGTCTGTGAGCTCAAGCCCCGCATCAGGCTCTGGGCTGACAGCTTGGAGCCTCCTTTGGATTCTGTGTCTTCCTCTCTCTCTGTCCCTCCCCTGCTTATACTATGTCTCTCTCTCTCTCTCTCAAAAATAAAGAAACATTTAAAAAAAAATTTTTTTTTAATTTCTATTGGTCATTTGTATTTCTTCACCTGTAAATGGTCCTTAGGCTTCGCTCGTCTTTCTACTGGATTGTTTGGTATGTTTCTTTTAATTTGCAGGTCTTTACATACTATAGATCTTCCTCTTTTGACTTAAAAATGTTTAAAATATTCTCTCAGCTTGGTAGCATTTTTTTACTTTATTTAAAATATCTCGTCTTAGGGGTACCTGGGTGGCTAAATTGGTTGAGCTTCCGACTTCAGCTTAGGTCATGATCTCACAGTTATGCAGTAGAGCCTCACATAGGGCTCTGTGGTGACAGCTTGGAGCCTGGAGCCTGCTTCGGATTCTGTGTCTCCCTCTCTCTCTGCCCCTCCCCCACGCACACTCTTTATCTCTCAAAAAAATAAGTAACATTAAAACATTTTTTTGACATCTCGTCTTTTTGTCTTCTGGGTTGTGTATTTTGCTTAGAAAGAGCTATGGGACGCCTGGGTGGCTCACACAGCTAAGTGTTGGACTCTTGATCTCAGGTCAGGTTATGGTCTCATGGTTCATGGGATGGAGCCCTGACTCCCTGAGTCAGGCTCTGTGCTGACAGCACAGGGCCTGCTTGGGATTCTCTGTCTCTCCCTTTCTTTGCCATTTCCCTGTGCCCACACACGCACGCATGCTCTCTCTAAAAATAAACAAACTTAAAAAAAAAAATACTTTATTACACCAAGACTGTATCTATATTCTCCTGCATTTCTTTATTTATTTCTGATCCTTTTACCTCTTTTACATTTAACCATTTAGCCAAACTTATTATCACAGTATGGTTTGAAATAGAGATTGAATGTCAATTTTTTCCAAGCTGGTGGCCAATCATCCCAGCATGTATTTAACCCTTTCCTTATTATTTAGAAATGATACCTGCTTTAATTACTAATTTACACATGTATACACACAAACACATACAATGCAGGTTTTGTTCTGGATTCCTTTACATTCCCATGCCCAAATGGCACCTCATTGTTTAAAAAGTTTTTTATCAAACTATAGTAATTATCTGGAAAAGTTACCCTCACTGTTCATTTTCAAAATTTTCTTAGCCACTCTTACATTTTTCTATTCCAAATGAATGTATTATTTTTAAAATCAACAAAAATAACAGATCCGTGAGAGGGGGCAAATCCTTTTTAGACAAAATGCCCCCTCCCAGACCCTTTCTGGTGCTGCCCACTTACTTGCTGTGATACTCTGCTAGAGGATTTTCATCTTCCACGATCTTCCTGCCTGCAAAGTCAATGGTGATTTTCTTAGAGAGCCGAGACATATGTCGAAATTCTCTCAGCTCCTCCTCCCGTTTTTGCAGGGTCTCCCGCTCAATTTTAGACAACCACTGGTTAGAATCACTGGCAAAGTAATCTGACTCATCATCAATGACTTGCGTCCTTCGAATGCTAAGGAGATAAAGAGAACACATGTCAATTGGGTTACCTGTTGACAAAACAGGGACATGATTACCAGAAAACTGTTTTAAGGCAGTTTACTCTTTGCTATCCTGAAAAGTATCTCAAACACAGATACCCAAAAAAGTTCCGTAATAAGGTCAAGCTCTGCTTGGTCCCCAGCTTCGGCATGTACCTTATCCCCACAGCAGGCCTAGCTCAGCTCATAAAACTAATCTCACCTTCAGGCAGAAAAAGACACAGCCTCACAATCCATTGTTCTTCTAGTCCAGCCATAACTGGGTTATCACCTGGTTTTGCTGCATCTGAGTTCATGTCTTGGCAGCTTACTCACTATCCTAGTCCCTCAACAAGTGGGGTCCAGTCGATTCCTGCTAGTCCCAACTGCTGCCTTTCCCTTAGAAACTTAAAGAGTTCTATTCTGGACAGTTTAAGGCCCATGGCTTACTCTTAGGACATCCTACTACCCTACTACTACTATATGTCAGTTTCTACCCCTTGCCCCCCCAATCTTATCACTTGTCCCTCACTAAAACACTGGATCAAATTCTAAGATATGTCAATCAGACCTATTTCTAAGATCATATCAACAAAGAAACTGAGAACTAGAAGGAATTTTAATGACCCAATTCTCTCATTCTACAGATAATGAACTTGGGGTGGGGCTCACAGAAGTTAACTGACTACTCCAAATGCACAAATCCAGTCACAATTGACTCCGTGCCTAATTATTACAAATTAGTGATATACAAAGGCATAGGGAAATACTGAAATCAGATTCATATACTGATTTCAGTTTTTCAGGACATGGCTGGAATTATACAAGTTTTAAAGTAGACTGAGAGTGGGAAGTTTCAGAGAGCTCAGGAGAAACCTGCTCCTATATGTGAACCTAAATAATGAAACTAGTATCCTGAAACACACAAGAAAAGGAGCAATATCTGTGGAGAGAGACTCTTTTCTAGTTTCTATTTACCAAGAAATGTACTCCATTGCTAATTCTATTTCTAATGACAGTTTTATTGAGTAGGGCTAGAAGTGATACTTAAAAGATTAAGAGTAGGGGTGCTTGGGTGGCTCAGTCGATTAAGCATCCAACTTTGGCTCAGGTCATGATCTCAGTTTGTGAGTTCGAGCCCCACACTGGGCTCTCTGCTGTCAACGTGGAGCCCATTTCAGGTCCTCTGGCTCCCCTTTCTGCTCCTCCTCAACTCACACACACGTGGTCTCTCTCTCTCAAAAATAAACATTAAAATAATAATAATAATAAATATTGAGTGAACAGGAGTTACAAACCTTGTGATGGGCTTACTTTAGAAATAGCTTTCATTAGTCAGAGAAAGACAAGTATCATATGACTTCATTCATATGAGGACTTTAAGAGACAAAACAGATGAACATAAGGGAAGGGAAACAAAAATAATATAAAAACAGAGAGGGGAACAAAACATAAGAGACTCTTAACTATGGAGAACAAACAGAGGGTTACTGGAGGGGTTGTGGGGGTGGGGGATGGGCTAAATGGGTAAGGGGCATTAAGGAATCTACTCCTGAAATCATTGTCGTACTATATGGTAACTAATTTGGGTGTAAATTAAAAAAAAAAAAAATTAAAAAGAAAAATAGCTTTCAAGGCACCAGGGTGGCTCAGTCAATTCAGTGTCTGACTGGATTTTGGCTCATGTCATGAGCTCACGGTTCTTGAGTTCGAGCCCAGTGTCACGCTCTGCGCTGACAACACGGAGCCTTCTTAGGATTCTCTCCCTCCTTCTCTCTCTGCCCCTCCCCTGCTCTATCTCAAAAATAAATAAACTTAAAAAAAAAAGCTTTATGGGGCGCCTGGGTGGCTCAGTCGGTTAGGCGTCCGACTTTGGCTCAGGTCACGATCTCACTGTCCGTGAGTTCGAGCCCCGCGTCGGGCTCTGTGCTGACTGCTCAGAGCCCGGAGCCTGTTTCAGATTCTGTGTCTCCCTCTCTCTCTGACCCTCCCCCGTTCATGCTCTGTCTCTGTCTCAAAATAAATAAACGTTTAAAAAAAAAAAAAAAAAAGCTTTCAAAGTTGTATCTCAGATTTACAGCAAAGGGTTTGGAAGGAGGAAGTATGTCTAACCAAAAACTTATAATGCCAGAAATAGACTCCTAGGTCAGTTACAATACATAGGAGATTAAGGGTTCTCCAAGGACCCTCACAGATTCCCACATGGCCATTGAGAAATGAATGTATAAGTCCTATTTAAACATTTTTTACCACTAACTGGCTTTCAATACATATTTTGTCTAAAAGAAGAAAAAGGTGAAAGAGAAAGAAAAAATGAACTAACAAATTGATAAAATTGTCTCCTACAGAGAAGTCAATGGGCTAAATGACAAAAGTGTAGGAGTGTAAAATCCTATTTAGGAACTTTTTTTTTTTTTTTTTAAGTAGGCTCCACGTTTGGCAGAGCCCAACACAGGGCTCGAACTCATGACCCTGAGATCAAGACCTGAGACGACATCAAGAGTTGGACACTCAACTGACTGAGCCACCTTATCCGCCCTAAATTTAGGGACATTTTAATACACTGATCATTAAATCAGAAAACAAATTTAGTGTTAACGGGAAGGGGAAGGGTAAACCAGGCCTTCCCAGGATATGCCACTACCTATGCTCTTTCAGAAGCAATTTCTTATAGATCCTCCAGAGCCCAGCACAGTCGTTTGCACATGGTAGGTACTCTAACATATGGCGACTGATGGAATGAATGGCTGCAAGGAAAACAACTGGGGAATTCTGTCAACCCAAATCAACTTTCTGGCAGTATACTAGTACTAGCATCTGGCAAAAATTTAATAATGTTGCAGGGTAAGATGCTCTTTATGGGAACCTATCTTACTCAAACATGAATTCAAAAACAAGATGTAGGCCTCCTATGTAGCAGAGCTCTTCTTTTGCTGTGAATCTTTCATACTTCACTGTAAAAAGGTATCAAGTTCCAGAATAATGTTTTAATGGCCAGGATATGTAGACCACTCTATTTCTTACCATTTGTTATTCTAACCACATACCTAGTTCTGTCAAATTCTAACAGTTTGTCCTTATGCTTAATAGCCTTCTCCAGACCAGACTTAATTCGCAATTCTTGATGAGGAAGAAGGTCCTTGGTAGAGATGTCCACCTTTCCAGAACTCTCCGTCCCTGAAATTCAATAAGGAAACCAAATGGTATCAGACTGTAATATAAATTAGTTGTATCACTGTGCAGCAAAGAACAAAATATCAGAAGATCTGGCTCTGTTTTAAATGGCTGACAGCCTTCATTTCAATGAAAAACAAATAACACGTGCTAGGCTTTACTTATTAAGCACCAAGCAGGGTTTCACACAAGATTGGTTTTCAGGAAACATTAGGATCCACTTCTTCCCATGTGGAAATTTGGATCACTAAGGGTACCAAACTGTTAAACAATATAAAAATGCCATGTAAAGGAAAAGATTTATTAAGTAGGGGTGACTACAACCTTTAAACATACTTTCAGGGGTGCCTGGGCATCTCAGTCGGTTAACCATCTGACCCTCGATTTGGGCTCAAGTCATGATTTCATGGTTTATGAGTGTGAGACCCATGTGGGGATCTGTGCTAACAGTGCAGAACCTGCTTGGGATTCTCTCTCTCCCTCTCTCTGCCTTTTCCCCATTCGCAATCTCTCTCAAAATAAATAAACTTAAAAAAAATAAACAGACATAGCAAAATTAAAAAAGACAATGGAAGAAAAAACGAGTAGAAATTGCAGGAAAGGGACAGAAATGAATACTGAAGGGCGCCTGGGTGGCTCAAGTCAGTTAAGCGTCCAACTTTGGCTCAGATCATGACCTCACATTTCGTGGGTTTGAGCCCTGCATTGGGCTCTGTGCTGACAGCTCAAAACCTGGAGAATGCTTCAGACTTTGTGTCTCCCTTTCTCTGCTCCTCCCCCGGTTGTGCTTGATCTCTCTCTTTCTCAAAAATAAGCATAAAAAAAATTTTTTTTTAATACTGAAAACTTATTAGATGCTAAGGCACTTAATATATATTATTTAATTCTCCCAATAACCGTGTAAGACAGTTTATATTATCTTTGTTTTATAAAAAAAGAAACTAAAGTTTAGAGACGATAATATACTTACTGAGTCACTCAGAAATTAAAAGGTGGAAACAACCTTTAAACTTAGGTCTAACTCTAAAGCCCACATTCATTCCTCAGCCCATGTGTCATCTCCTACATGACAGCAAACCATAAACCTATATATCACAGAAAAGAGCCATGAATTATGATAAAGCCAAGATCTAAGATGCATTAGGAAAACAACGAGGCTATAATTAAGGCTGACCTTATGCTTATTTTAAACTCCAGGCCTGTTCAAATTCCTATCAAAGCTCTCTCTTAAGATTAAAACGAAAGGGGCGCATGAGGGACTCAGTTGGTTAACCATCAAACTTGGCTCAGGTCATGATCTCACAGTTTGTGGGTTCGAGCCCCATTCGGCTCTGTGCTGACAGCTCAGAGCCTGCTTCGGATCCTCTGTATCCCTCTCTCTACCCCTTCCCTGTTAGCACATGTACATGCTTTCTAACAAACAAATAAACATTTTAAAAAAAGACTAAAGAGAGAGAGAAAAACAGAGATTCTTGTGTTCTGAACATAAGAAAAACACTTAGGGGGCACCTGGGTGGCTCAGTTGGTTAGGCTTCTGACTCTGGCTCTGGTCACGATCTTGTGATTCATGAGTTCAAGCCCTGCATCAGGCTCTGTGCTGACAGCTTGAAGCCTGGAACCTGCTTTGGATTCTGTCTCCTTCTCTCTCTGCCCCACCCCCACTCGCACTCCGTCTCTCTCTCTCTCTCTCTCAAAAATAAACATTTTAAAATATTTTTTTAAAAAAGGCATTTATAACTACCTTTTCTCATAATAATGACCTTAAAGAAATTCTAACTGAAAAAATATGGAGATAATGTTCAACCTCTTCAATAAAATAATTAACTACAAAAATAAAAATATTTGAAATGTCAAAATTCAATAGTGACAGATTTTAGTCATTATGCTGTTGTAGACTGATACAATATTTTGGTAAAGTAATGTGGCAAATACATTTTAAGTGTCAAAAATGATCATATTAAAGACAAATACCATATGATTTTACTTATATGTGAAATCTAAAAAAAAACCAAAAAGCAGAAACAGACCCCTAAATGCAGAGAACTGGTGGCTGCCAGAGGGGAGATGGATTGAGAGACAGGCAAAAAGGTATGAATGGGAGTGGGAGGTACAGGCTTCTGGTCACAGACTGATTAAGGAAGAAAAGTACAGCATACAGAATCTACTCAATGGTATTTTCATAGCATCATATGGTGACAGATGGTAGCTACATGTGTGGTGGTGAGCATAGTATAACATGTACAATCTAAGTTATGTATACCTGAAACTAATATAACATTGTGTATCAACTATACTTCAGTTTTAAAAAAAATAATACTATTCTTTAAAAAAATAAAAAGTAAATAAATAAAACTCATCTTCTTTGGGGTGCCTAGTTGGCTCACTTGGAACATGCAACCCTTGATCTCAGGGTTATGAATTCAAGCCCCACGTTGGGTGTAGAGATTAATTAAAAAAAAACAAAACAAAAAAAAAACAAAATAATCTTTGACTCAGTAATCCCATTCTTGGGAATTTATCCCAAAGCAATAAATTGAAAGATATATTAACAAAGGTGACTGTAATATTTATAATTTTTGAAGAGTGAAAATTTTCAGTAACTGGAAGTAGGTGATCAAATTACAATAAATCAAGTTAATAGACTATTTTGGGCCACTAAAATCAATAAATGTGAAGAATATATAGCAACATAGAAATTATAAAATACTAATAGAGAAAAATGAAAACAAAAGAAAAAAAGGAAAACAAAATCCTATACACACTATGATCACTAATACCAACCAATTTTTATTTTTTATTTTTTTTTTTAAACATTGATTAATTTTTGAGACAGAGAGAGCATGAACAGGGGAGGGTCAGAGAAAGAGGGAGACACAGAATCTGAAACAGGCTCCAGGCTCTGAGCTGTCAGCAGAGAGCCTGACGCAGGGCTCGAACCCACAGACCGTGAGATCATGACCTGAGCTGAAGTCGGACGCTTAACCGACTGAGCCACCCAGGCGCCCCCCCAACCAATTTTTAATGAAAAAAAAAAAAAAAAAAGAAAACAAAACTATGAACTAAAGCAAAAACAAAAATTTGCATAAGTGGAAAGTAATGGATACAATGTTTTTCCTTTTAAAAATGTCCTGGGGCGCCTGGGTGGCTCAGGCAGCTAAGCAACCAACTCTTGATTTCAGCTTGGATCACCATCTCATGGTTCATGAGATCAAACCCTGAATTGCGCTCACGTTGTTGGTGCAAAGCCTGCTTGGGATTCTCTGTCTCCCTCTTTCTCTGCCCCTCCCCTGCTTGTTATTTCTCTCAAAATAAATAAGTAAACATCCAAAAAAAATTTTTTTAGGGGCGTGTGGGTGGCTGAGTTGGTTGAGCATCTGACTTTGGCTCAGGTCATGATCTCATGGCTCGTGGGTTCGAGCCCCACATCGGTCTGTGCTGACAGCTCAGAGCCTGGAGCCTGCTTTGGATTCTGTGTCTCCCTCTCTCTCTGCCCCTCCCCCACTCATGCTCTGTCTTTCTTTCTCAGAAATAAACATTAAAAAAAGTTTTTTTTTGATTCTTAATGCCCTTAAATATTTTTAAGATCTTTGTAATGTTTGTTTGTTTAATGTTTTATTTATTTTTGAGAGACAGAACGTGAGCAGGGGAGGGGCAGAGAGAGAGGGAGACACAGAACCCCAAGAAGGATCCAGGCTCTGAGCTGTCAGCACAGAGCCTGATGTGGGGCTCGAACCCATGGGCAGATCACAACCTGAGCCAAAGTTGGATGCTTAACTAACTGAGCCACCCAGGAGCCCCAAATGTTTATGTATTCTTGAGAGAGAAATAGAGTGTGTGCAAGAGTGGGGGAGGGGCACAGACAGAGGGAGACAGATGATCCCAAGCAGGCTCTGCACTGACAAGAGAGAGCCCAATTTGGGGTTCCAAGTCACAAACTGTGAGATCATGACCTGAGATGAAGTTGGATGCTTAACCAACTGTGCTACCCTAAGCTGAAGTTGGACGCTTAACCAACTGAGCCACCCAGGTGCCGCCCCCCAAAATTTTATTCTTTAAAAAATTTTTTTTTCAACGTTTTTATTTATTTTTGGGACAGAGAAAGACAGAGCATGAATGGGGGAGGGGCAGAGAGAGAGGGAGACACAGAATCGGAAACAGGCTCCAGGCTCTGAGCCATCAGCCCAGAGCCTGACGCGGGGCTCGAACTCCCGGACCGCGAGATCGTGACCTGGCTGAAGTCGGACACTTAACCGACTGCGCCACCCAGGCGCCCCCAAAATTTTATTCTTTTAAAATGTTCATTTATTTTTGAGAGAGAAAATGTGAACGGGGGGGAGGCAGAGAGAGAAGGGGACAGAGGATCTGAGTCAGGCTCTGTGGTAAGAGCAAAGAGCTCAGGGCAGGGCTAGAGCTATGAGATCATGACCTGAGCCAAAATCGAAAGCTGGACTTTTAACTGACTGACTCACTCAGGTGCCCAGAGTGGGGCTCGAACTCACAACCCTAAGATCAAGAGTTGCATGCTTCACTGCCTGAGCCAGCCAGGCACCCGTGTCCTTAACAATTTTTATTAAGTGTTTTTCAACTATAAAAGACAAAGAAAAGGGCATCTGGGTAGCTCAGTTGGTTGAGTGTCTGACTCTTGGTTTCAGCTCAGGTCATGATCTCACAGGTTTTGAGTTTGAGCCCTGCATCAGGCTCTGCACTGACAGTGGGGTGCCTGCTCAGGATTCTCTCTCTGCCCCTTCCCTGTGCTCTCTCAAAACATAGGCTAACTAAAAAAAATAATAATAAATTATTAAAAAAAGACTTAGAAAAGAGTTGCAAAAAAAAAAAAAAGAAAGAAAGAAAAGTTCTATATAACTTTCTGTCAGTTTCCCTTAATGCTAATACCTTATCTCACATAACCATAGTACAATTATCAAAAGAAATTAACAATCGTATCCTTTTTTTTAATTTAAATATTACTTAACATACCGTGCAATATTGGTTTCAGGAGAATTCAGTGATTCATCACTTACGTACAAACCCAGTGCTCATCACAATTAAGTGCCCTCCTTAGTATCCATCACCCATCTAGCCCATCTCCCACCCACCTCTCCCCATCAACCCAGAGTTTGTTCCCAACAGTTAAGAATCTCTTGTGGTTTGTTTCCCTATCACCTCTTTCCCCCTCCTTCCCATATATTCATCTGTTTTGTTTCTTAAATTCCACATGAGTGAAATCATAGAGTACTTGTCTTTCTCTCATTGACTTATCTCCCTTAACATCTGCGTTGTTGCAAATGGCAAGATTTCATTCTTTTTTGATGGCTGAGTAATATTCCATTGTATATGTATACCACATCATCTTTATCCATTCATCAGTCGATGAACATCTGGGTGGCTGCACCAGTTGCATTCCCACCAACAGTGCAAGAGGGTTCCCCTTTCTCTGCATCCTTGTCAACAGCTGTTGTTTCTTGTGTTGTTAATTTTAGCCATTCTGACAGGTGTGAGGTGGTATCTCACTGTGGTTTTGATTTGTATTTCCCTGATGATGAATGATGTTGAGCATCTTTTCATGTCTCTATTAGCCATCTGGATGTCTTCTTTGAAAAAGTGTCTATTCGTGTCTTCTGCCCATTTCTTCACTGGGTGATGTTTTTTGAGTGCTGGGCTTTAGAAGTTCTGTAGAGATTTTGGATACTAACCTTTTATCAGAGAAGTCATTTGCAAGTATATTCTCCCATTCCGTGGTTTGCCTTTTAGTTCTGTTGTTTCCTTCACTGTGCAGAAGCTTTTTATCTTGATGAAGTGCCCGTAGTTCATGTTTGCTTTTATTTCCCTTGCCTTTGGTGAGGTGTGTAGTAAGAAGTCACTCTAGCAGAGGTCAAAGAGGTTGTTGCCTGTGTTCTTCTGTAGGATTTTGATGGTTTCCTGTCTCACATTTAGGAATTTCATCCATTTTGAATTTATTTTTGTGTATAGTGTAAGAAAGTGGTCCAATTTCATTCATTTGCAGGTCGCCATCCAGTTTTCACAACACCATTTGTTAAAGAGATTGTCTTTGTTCCACAGGATATTCTTTCCTGCTTTGTCAAAGATTAGTTGACCATATAGTTGTGGGTCCATTTCTGGGTTTTCTATCTATGTGTCTGTTTTTGTGCCAGTATCATACTGTCTTGATGACTACAGCTTTGTAATATAGCTTACTATAATACTATCAACTAAATTACAGTCTTCATTTGGATTCCAACATTTTTTCCATTAATGTTATTTTCCTGTTCTGGGATCCAATTCAGGATCCTACATTACAGTTACTTGTCATGTCTCCTCAGTTATCGTCTAATCTGTGACAATCTTTGGTCGTTCCTGGTTTTTCATGACTTTGCAAATCTGCTATTCTTTAACTTTTCATCCAACAGTTTTAGCATCCATTGGTGGATCTTGCCTGTAGCAATTACTACTGCTGTGGTATTCTAAATGGCGATTTTCTACAACCCTCATTCCTTCACATTATTAATTGGAATTTTTCTATAGGAAAAAGCTGACCCTTCTCCCCTATTTATTAACTTATTCATTTAATTCAGGACATTAATTTTATTATCTCAGTTATAATCCAATATTATTAGTTTTTTACTCAATGTTATGTGGCTTTAATACTTAAAAAAATTTTGTAACATTTATTCATTTTTGAGAGTGAGAGAGACAGAGCATGAGTGGGGGAGGGGCAGAGAGAGAGGGAGACACAGAATCCAAAGCAGGCTCCAGGCTCTGAGCTGTCAGCACAGGGCCCAACGCGGGGCTCGAACTCTCAAACCGCGAGATCATGACCTGAGCCAAAGTCGGTCGCTTAACCCAGGCGCCCCAACACTTTTTAAATAAATAAAAGCTTGTAGGGGTGCCTGGGTGGCTTAGCTGGTTACGCCTCTGACTCTTGCTTTCAGCTCAGGTCGTAATCACACGTTTCAAGAGACTGAGCCCTGCATTGAGCTCTGTGCTGACAGTATGGAGCCTGCTTGGGTTCTTTTTCTCCCTTTCTCTGCCCCTCCCTTGTTCATGTGCACTCTTTCTCTCCTGAACAAAATAAATAAATAAACATTTTTTAAAAATATAAAATAAATGCTGAGAGAAGCACCTGGGTGCTTCAGTCAATTAAGCATCCTTCTCTTGATTTTGGCTCAGGTCATGATCTTGTAGATCCTAGGATCGAGCCCCACATCAGGCTCTACTCTGACAGCATGGAGACTGCTTGTGATTCTTTCTTTCCCTCTTTCTCTGCCCTTTATCCACTTCTCTCTCTCTCAAGAAAAAATAATATAAAAAAAATTTTTTTAAACACCTGTAGGATAAATGAGTAAATAAACTGCATCTTGCATACCAGTATACAAGAAAAACAATCACAGACACAACAAAATGTATTAATCACCATGGTAATCCAATCAGAACATTGTTGCCTACCTGACATTAGCTTCTTCAGCAATTTCTGGCTTTTGTTTGAGTCACGCTGTAAAATATCCTGTTCTTCACGAGTACATACCTATAAAGTAACAAGAACAAGACACATGATCCAATAGTTACATTAATTTTGTCTTAATATATCTAAAAAGTAACCTCAAATTACACAAGATATGGCAATAAAATGAGACCATTGGTGCTTTTTGTTATCCAAACCTAACAAAAATATACAAATCCAAATGAGTTTGCCCTGGTCTCTTTCGATTTTTCCCTTCTTACGTGAACCATAGAAAAAATTGATCTCATTGGAAGTGTCCCTAAATGATTTGATAGCTAAAAAAAAAAAAAAAAAAAAAAAAAAAAAAAAAAAAAAAAAAAAAAAATCTAACCTACTTTCAAAGGACAAAGATTTGCCATCATTGAATATTGGGGAAAAAATATAATACTTTTTTTTTTTTAAAAAGACTTCCAGTTCTAATCATTTAATCCAAGTCTTACAAAAGAAATTATAAACAGATGTCTTATTAGAAAGAACCAGAAAAAGCAAATTACAGTGCCACCAGTGAAAACTAGTCTTTTATACTATACATATTTCATTTGTCTTTGAATACTACCTACTTATAAAATAATGAATATATTAAGCAAAGAAAAAGTTCTATTTATTACAAAATGACTGCAATTATAAGGGAGACAAAAAAGGAGTTTTTCAAACCAATTTCATACTGAGTTTATAAAACTACAAGACTTCAAAGGCCAATCTGCTTTACGTTACTCTTTCTTGAATTTAAGGATTCAAAAGACTTATCAGAAAACATGGAAATTGCCTAGAGGTTGCTGCAGTGGCACAAAGTTCCCACTAGCAGCTATAGGGTGTTTTTCTACAGAAAGCCCCATATCAGAGGATATTTACTGATTTAAGAATGTATTTTTTCATTTCATATTTTTTATTATAGATACTATATTTTTCAGGTCATCCACTACTAGCTTATTTTTTTTTTCAGCTTAGTTTTTGAGTGTACTGTAAAAAGGCACCAGAGAAGGGAAAACAAGGCAATATATAAAATGGATGCCTTTACCAACATCAAACACCATTGCTTCTGCCAACCAGCTCAACTGGCAGAATAAGCTTTGCAGACAACTCATTAGGGTGTTTGTAAGACAGTCATTACTACCACACTCTTGAGATCATTCTCTCAGACAACAAAGATGGAGATGAGTTGTCCTGGAAATAGAAGCTATAATAACCTGAGGATTATGTTATAGTACAAGACTTGGAGCCTTCAACAATATATATACTCAAAACTCTTCTCACTAACAGTCCTCAGTACTAAGATATAACCTTGGTTTCTTGATTAATCGAATTCCTGCTACTGGAGTTTACTGGACATTTGAGGGAAGAAATTTGCTAAGAAAAAAGAAATTACTAAGGATGTGAATGTCCCTATGTACTCAACCAAAAGATAGTAAAATAAAATATAAAAGAAACAATTTACCAGAGTGCCACAGAAAAAGCAGGGGCCAGAACCTTCTTGTTCACAGACAATGCGCCCACAGATCAGACAGTTATTGATCAGCTTGTGCTTCTGGCCCAGGCAATCACAAGGATGGCGACCAGGAATCAGGACTGCAAGCCTGTCCTGTCCCTCTTTTGTGTATAAACTGACAAACTTTGTCTTCTTCTTTAAGGAGCTGCTGTTCTCCTGTGCCTAATTGTACAAAGATATCAGAAATAACATAAAAAAAATTAATGACAATGAAAATAGTCAAGAAAAGAAAAACCTCAGTTCTGTTCAATGACAACTTATATACTACCTAGGAACCATGACAGAAGGTAGTGAGAGAAACACAAATTAAGGGTTATAATCAAGGGTCTGAAGAAAGGTTATATTCTAGAAAAGCTACCTGATATACCTTGCCTTTTTTGCTAGTAGCTTTCAGTCCCCTATTATAGCTGGCAGAAGGTAAATCTAGCAGTAAAAGCTGTTTACGGGACATATATAAGCATGCTTAAAGTGGAGATCATAAAAACAAGAATGTCTCTAAAAGCAGATGATACAGGTTTAAAATAAGAAAAATAAAAAAAAAAATGACTCAATAAGAAAAAGACAGATGACACAATAGAAAAATGGGCAAACTATCTAAACAGGAACTTCATTCAAGAAGATATCCAACTGGCCACCAGACACAGGAAAAGGTACTTAAGCTACCCTTCATTACTCATCAAGGTAATGCAAAAGAAAACCAAAATTCAATACCAACCAGAATGGCTAAACTGAAAAAGAAAACACAGAAGAGTGCTGGTAAGGATACAAGAACAATTAAAGCTTTCATACACTGTCAGTGGGAGTGTAAACTGGTATCTACCAAAGCTGAACATATGCATATCTTGTGACTCAGCAATTCAGTTCTTGGATATATACTCAACAGAAATGTGTAAATATGTTCACCAGAAGACATGTACAAGAATGTCACTGCAGCAATGGAACTGGAAACTAGCCAAATGTTCAACAGATTGATGTATTCACTTAATAGAATTGTCGGTAGCTATGAGAATGAAAAAGTATAGCTACACAAAACAATATTGCTAATTCCCATAAACCATGTTGATTGAAAGAAACCACAAACAAAAGAATACACACTATATAGCTCCATTTACACAAAATTCATAAGCAGGCAAAACTAATCTATGGTGTTAGAAGTCAGGAAGGTGTTTTCCCCGGGGAGGGACGTCATTTTTTGGGGGACAAAATGGGGGTCTTTTAGAGGAAGGGTGATGTTTTGTTTCTGGCTATAAACATGGTCAGTTTGTGAAAATACATCTGTTCACTTCTGTCTATATGTTGTAAAATTAAAAGTTTAAATAGAAAACTTTATTTATCAGCCTCTGTCTTAGTCCATTCAAGCTGCTATAACAAAACATAACAGACTGGGTAGCTTATAAACAACAGAAATTTATTTCTCACAGTTCTGGAGGCTGGAAGTCCAAGATCAGAGTGCCAGCATGGTTGGGTGAGGGCCCTCTTCCAGGTCACAGAAATGATTTCTTCTAGATCACTGTATCCTAACACAGCAAAAGGGGCAAGGAAGCTCTGTGGGATCTCTTTTACAAGAACACTAATTCTATTCATGAGGGTTCTACCTTCATGACATAAGAACCTCCCAAAGGCCCTACTTCCTAATATAATCGCACTAGCATTTCAACATATAAATTTGGGTGGAGGGGACATAAACATTCAAACACTTATTTATATAGATGCCTCTCGCTTTCCCTTTTCAGGGAAGAAACATCTTCAAGAGTTTTAGCGGATGGGAAAATTACTACAAGGAAAAGAACAATTCTTTGCTATGACATGCTAGAAGTTGAGATACCCAAAGCCAGAAGTTGAGATATAGAGACAATACCATAGAAGTCAACTTGGGTAAATATTAAAATCTAAGAGAGTGCTAAAGATTTTATCTAATCTAGCAGGCGGCCATTTTTCAAACTAGTCAATTATATTTTTGGCTGTCAGTGATCATGGTGAGAAGATTAAAATCTCTAAGCAGAAACTTGTATTTGACTCCCATTAAATTATCCGGTAACATTAACATAAGGTATTTGAGGGCTGTGCTTTGATGAGTTCCCATATACATAATGGGCAATGAGTACATATTGAGAAATACAGGAGAAAAAGGAAGAACAGGACAAGAAAATTCATAGCCTATCACTGCACTGCTTAAAACTATTCACTGCCTTCCCATTGTGCTTAGAATAAAATCCAAGCTACTTATAAGGCCCTATAAAACTTTACATATGGCCTCCAGGTGCTCTCCAATCTCTTCTACATATCACTCTTCTCCTGTTCACTATGCTCCAGCCACACAGGCTTCTGATAATTGCTAAACACCTGTCTCCATCTCTCCTTTACACTTGTCATTCTCTCAATCTGAATGGTTCCTAGCCCATCTCTTTATATGCTGCCTCCTTTTCTTTTTTTTTTTTTTCTAAATTTTTTTTTAACGTTTTATTTATTTTTGAGACAGGGAGAGACAGAGCATGAACAGGGGAGAGTCAGAAAGAGGGAGACACAGAATCTGAAACAGGCTCCAGGCTCTGAGCTGTCAGCACAGAGCCCGACGCGGGGCTCGAACTCACGGACCGCGAGATCATGACCTGAGCTGAAGTCGGGCACTTAACCGACTGAGCCACCCAGGTGCCCCAGGGCTCCTTTTCATTGTTCAGTTCTGAGCTATAATTTCACTCCCTCTGAAAGGCTTTCCCTGAATACTCTACCTAAACTAGCTCCCTTCCTACCAACTACTGCCTATCACATTGCCCTTTTTATTTCTTTCATGGCAGTTTTTATAATCTATAATTTTTTTTTCCAACTGTCTTTTCTATGTTTCCTTTGAACCACTAAGATGTAACCTCTAGGAGAGCAAAGAAACCTAGAGTGCTTTATTTACTGCTATAATGTGTAATGCCTAAATCAGTTCTTGACATACAGTAGACATGCAATACAATTTTCTGAATTTTCTAAATAACCAAATGAACTGCATATAGAACATGGAGACAGATTTACCTACAGGACCAAAAGTGGAACTGTCAGTACACAGCTTGATCATTACTCATGATTCCAGGTCTATGAATTTGCCTACTAACTAAAATCTATTTGTAACCCCCAAATCAACACTCCAGGTGCTTTTACAACCATTTGTGGACATGAGCAGGGCGGCAAAAAATCTGAGCCTCTAAATGTATAGATTTCCCGCTAAGGCCAAGCGAAGGAATGATCTGCCTTCTTGTTTCAGCTGTCACACTGTAAACAAGTGTCTTATTTTCAGTCTATTTACTATCACTTTTTTTGCATTTTTGTGCTTTTTCTTGGTGATCCTAATATTTAAAATGGTCCCATGCATAGTGCTTACATGTTGTCTAGTATTCCTAAGCACAAGGCTGTACCTTATATAATAGATGTGTTAGATAAGCTTTCTTCAGGCATAAGTTATAGTGCTGTTGGCTCTGAGTTCAATGTTAATAAATCAACAAGATATATTAAAGTGTCTTTAAACAGAAACACACATAAAATAAGGTTATGTATTGAATGTTTGATAAAATTGTGACCAGATGCTCACAGAAACCTAATCCTGTATTTCTCCTATGTGTAATGGTTCAGAACTCACTAATTCAGTATACACTGCAGCTCTAACAAGAAATTCCTGTATAAGAGATAAAACATTTTTTCAAAATCATTTTCCAAGTTTGCTTAATGAGTAGAAAATACTTAAGAATTAAATACAGACTCAGAAACAGGTTGTTGAGGGATAAACTGCTCTTAAAGCATTAAGAGATATGAAATCAAAAGTTAAGTCATTATTAATTTGAAGATCTTTCCCTACCCAAGCCTGGGAAGTTATGAGTGAACCATGGTTTTTATTTTACCTTTTGAAACCTATATAACAACAAGCATCAAGGTACCTTATTCATTAAGATCCATTAGTAAAAACAGTGAAATACTTTGTTAAACTAAGATTGGCATCTACTTAACTAAAAAGCTAGGTTGTAGCTGTAGAAACATTGCATAGTCAAAGCAAGCTTCTTTAATGTGGATTGGTAAATGAGTAAGTTGACCAAACAGACTAAAGCAACATAGGACTAAATGGATTAAAAGATTAAATGATTATAAAAAAGAAACACTTAAAAAGATTGCAATATAAAATGTTAAAATATTTAATGGGGTGCCTCAGTTGGTTGAGCATCCGACTTTGGTTTGGGTCATGATCTTGTGGGTCATGATTCCTGAGTTCAAGCCCCATGTTGGGTTCTGTACTGACAGCTTGGAACCTGGAGCCTGCTTCAGATTCTGTGTCTCCCTCTCCCTCTGCCCCACCCCTGTTCACGCTCTGTCTCTCTCTTTCAAAAATAAACATTAAAAAATGTTTTAAAAAATATTTATCAACAACTTCAAAATTTTTAAAAACTGAACTGGAATTTGTGAGAAAGCATCCAGAGGAAACTGACTCAAAGGAGAAAACATAGATAGTGGTTTTCATGTTGTTTTCAACAACTTTCTCTCCTGGATGTTAAAAATTAATTTATTAAAAGTTCATTAATGTATTGTATGCTATTATTTCATAGCTATTTTTAAAAGAACAAAATAAGACTTTAAAATTTTTATCCATTACGTGGGGCACCTGTTTGGCTCAACATGTGACTTTTGGTCTTGGGGTTGTGAGTTCAAGCAGCACATTAGGCACAGAGCTTACTTAGAAGAAAAAAAAGTTATTATCCATTATTTGATAACTCTGACCAGAAAATATTCTCTTTATGGTATGAATTTTACTTTTACATTAAGATTCTATACACTTGCAGTCACCACTTATAAAATATATATTTACACACGTCTATGTAATACTTCTATTTTATTTTTTTTTTATTTTTTTTTAACATTTATTTATTTTTGAGACAGAGAGAGAGACAGCATGAACAGGGAGGGTCAGAGAAAGAGGGAGACACAGAATCCAAAACAGGCTCCAGGTTCTGAGCTGTCAGCACAGAGCCCAACGCGGGGCTCGAACTCACGGACTGTGAGATCATGACCTGAGCCGAAGTCAGACGCTTAACTGACTGAGCCACCCAGGCAACCCAATGCTTCTACTTTAAAAACAAGTATTTTACTGATAAGAGTAATACAAAAAATTACTCAAAATAATGTTCAGATGGATT